TAATAAAGAAAGAAGCATTCTAGAATACATTTCATCCTTACTAGTCCTTACTAATATTATAAATCGGAAAGTGAGTTTGTTTGTTTGTTTGTTCCACCTTCACGCCGCAACTACTCAACCGATTGCTTTGAATTTTTGCAGACGTAAAGTTACAAGTCCGGATTAAATAATAGGGTACTTTTTATCCCTGAAAAATTTGATATTCCCGAGGGAAAACAAAAGTATTGGTATAGATGGCGCTGTGTGTATTGGTATATGTCACATTGGCTTTTTATCCTTTAGTGACGCGAGTGAAGCCGCGGGTAAAAGCGAGTTCTCAATAAACGAGAATTTATAGGTATATTGAAACGGTATTGTTTGATTTTCAAGATGGCCGTTGGATCGCTTTTAATAAACGATGTTGCGATGGAAAAATTTTCAATATAATGTCGGACAAATATTTTCTTAGGAAATGCATTCAACGGAGTGGACGATGGACTTTTTTGAAATAAGCTTCTAGCTGATATTTTTTGCTGGATGGGTGAGTATGAATGCATTATAAGAATGGTTGAGTATATAGGGTAAAACCGGGATAGATGCCTCAGTAGAATAGATGCCCCATTTCTTAAAAACCTAACTTCCTAAGCTCGCGATTAAGAAACAACCGTATAACTAAAAGCCGCAAGCACCCCGCACCTAAGTTAGCCACACACCGTCAAGCGGTGACGATGCGTTTCGTTCGTATATGAATTCATCTCCGCGGCGAAATTACCAAATGCGTAAAAATTTTAAAGGTGAGTATTTGCTGTTGTATAACTTTTTAAGTAGACATTAATTCCGCCATATTTTTTATTACGTCAATATATTGTTTCATGAAGTATACATTTTGATGTAAATAATCGCATTTTTCTTTTTTATTTATTTAAAAAATACTTGGGCAGCTATCCCTGTCAAAAAGGATAGTTGCCCTGATTTTTAACGGGATAGATGCCCCTAGTGGCGTCTATCCCTCCATACACCATGTATATCCTGATTGTATTATAAGTGCTTTGAATATACAAGGTGTAGTTTTGAAGTCGTGTCATTTCTCGGGGGTATGTCACAGAAGTCATATAGGTTCAATGTAAGAGAAAATTTCGGGTCAATAGTTAAAAATACGGCTATAATAAATCGTTTAAGTTGGACAATATTTTAGAAAAAGTGGCAGCAATTCTTCTTATTCGAGTTTTATGGAATTAGGAATAATATCAATTACATGTTTGAGTTTGTGTGTGTTAAGCCGCGTTATAAAGCTATTATAATTACGCGCTATATATAATTACGGATTTCCGTAAATTACAGAAAAATGAAAAATATTTACATACCTACAATTTTTTTTATTGATTCAGACTCAGAATCGGTAGCCGAGTTACCTCCTAGAAAATGACGCGGCTTTAAAACAACACCTTGTATATTTTTAATATATTTTTCATGTGTTTATGTATAGGTATTTAATTTTGACTAAGTTTTTGGTCTTTTTACTGATTATAGCAGAACTATGCCACGAAAATACAAAATAAAAGAAGGAGTGCGAGCTCGAGTATGTTCTTGGACTACAGAACAATTGCAGCCAGCTATGGAGAAAATGGACAGAAAAATCATGGGGATAAAAGTTTGCTGGTAAAGAACACTAAAATTGATGGGCAGGATGGGCCTAAAATATAAATAAATTAACTGCATAGAATGCTTTGAAAACTATGAACAAACGAAGTCTAAATCCGAGTGGATTCAATGTGTAATGTGTCAGTACTGGTTACATGAAACCTGTACACTTTTCAGAAATAGTTGCTCGAGATGTGGAAAAATTAAAGCACTGTCCGGTTAAATATTATGATGATATTTATTCAGTTATTTTAATTTTTAAGAAAGAATGACTTTTATGATTTTGCTTGTTGAAACTTAATTAGGTATTAATATTTAATAATAAGGATTTAAAATACATATTACTGTTGAACAAATACTTTTAGAATTTCATTGTTATAGTTTTAATTAAAATTTATCTTATTTATCTTATCTATAATGACAATGACAATAAAAAGATTTTAAAAACTGCAAAATTCTTTTCATTTCAAATAAAATAAAGACAAAAAATAGATAAATAATATTAACATAAAATACTTATATAGTATGAAGGGCATCTATCCTGCACCGTAGGCATCCATCCTTGTTAGTATTTTCAAGGTGGGGCAACTATCCATAGGGGTAGGCATCTATCCCCAAAAATGGAGGTCTACAAAAAGCTAAAATCTGCAAAATGGGTAGTTTATAGGTCCAAATAGACCAATCACAGTAAAACATAAAGGATTAAACTAGTTACATTCATAGGTATTATTTATGTAAAACCAATATTTTTTTAATTAGAAGCATATTTCAAAAAGTGGGGCATCTATCCCGGTTTTTGCAGACGTAAAGTTACAAGTCCGGATTAAATAATAGGGTACTTTTTATCCCTGAAAAATTTGATATTCCCGAGGGAAAACAAAAGTATTGGTATAGATGGCGCTGTGTGTATTGGTATATGTCACATTGGCTTTTTATCCTTTAGTGACGCGAGTGAAGCCGCGGGTAAAAGCGAGTTCTCAATAAACGAGAATTTATAGGTATATTGAAACGGTATTGTTTGATTTTCAAGATGGCCGTTGGATCGCTTTTAATAAACGATGTTGCGATGGAAAAATTTTCAATATAATGTCGGACAAATATTTTCTTAGGAAATGCATTCAACGGAGTGGACGATGGACTTTTTTGAAATAAGCTTCTAGCTGATATTTTTTGCTGGATGGGTGAGTATGAATGCATTATAAGAATGGTTGAGTATATACTTAAGTAAATACTTACAAATTTTTTTCTTATTTGGGTAAAACCTCGTGATTTTCGACATTATATTAATACCTAACCATGTGAATACTTATACACTTTTTTTCATTAATTACGAATTACAAATATCTTATACTAGTCTATACACCTTGTAGGCTCCAGACTTACCACGCTTTGTCTAACAATCACCATTATTAACAGCCTATAAGTGGCCACTGCTGACCAAAGACCTCTTCTCACTCCGAGAAGGTTTGAGCATTAATCATCAGGCTTGCTCAATGCGGGTTGGTGATTTAAAACTTATAATTAGAAATTATAAGCCCAGGTTTCTTTACGATGTTTTCCTTCAGTTTGTCAGTGGTGTCTAAATAATCTAAGAAAGTACATATAATTCCAAAAAAGTCACATTAGTACTTTCCTCGTGCATAAGAAGCGGGTGTATTGAACCTCCGGTCACCATCTAACAATATCCAAGATCCAAATAGGCCTTAACTTCGCCCAGGGTTTGAACATAACAACAAAAGACCCGGTCAGTTAGTAAACCGCTTCAAATTCATGTAAATGCTAATTCAGGATAACTCGTTATTAGCATATGACCAGATTCGTTAACTCTTCGAGTAGATCCGGTAATTAGTCTAACCCCTTGAGATCAGGAGAGCCACAACGAAACTATAGTCTAGAATAATTTAAATGTTAATTAAAGTTCTATAAAGATCAAAATCAAAAAGGCTACAACATGGAGTTCTTCAAGAAAGGAGTAAAAAGGTTTATCAAGGGTCGGTAAGGCGCCTGTAATGCCCCAGGTGTTGCAACCCTACATAGGTCACGGTAACCATCAGGTGGGCCGTGTGCTTTTTGCCACGGTCATGGTATAAAAATAATGTTAGGTAATTTGTATACGGATACATAGATCTAGATAGATCAGATTACATGAGTCCCTACTCATGTAATCTGAACTATCTAGACGCTCTCATTCACTTCAAAGGCTTCAAAGTAATGTTATATCTAGATTTATTCTGATTATAATATAGATTTATTCTGTGTCACATAAATTGAAATATAATACCTATTACACCTACTGTTGCACATCTCTACATCACCCCATTGTTGACTGTTAGAGAATGCCACCCGGCATTAAGTCCGCCATCGTATGTTATATACAGAAGTGTAAATAAAATAAAATAAAATAAAATATAGGTATCTATAGGTCCTTCGTAATGAATCATAATTATCCTAAAGATCTATCTAAGAGAGGTTGGTAAAAATGATGACTCTATTAATTTAGACCACACCAGAGATTTAATGAAATTGCAATACCAATACTACTTTATTTTAAGATATATCACAAAGCATCACGAAGAAGATTTTTTTAAATACCACAATAAAGGGATTAAAATATCACATGCAACTACTGTTGCATAATGTACATGTTGTACTCAGCATGTACATTGTTTGGTTTTATGCTAAACTTTTCTGAAATTTAAAGTGCAGATTATACAGAGGAAAACGTGCAAGAATGAGGACCAGTGAGTAATAATTGAGTAACTAACAAACCTAATTAACTTCATATCGGTAGTGTTCTCCAAAGTCCAAGCTATATAAAGTGATAATCTCATTTATTAGGTACCATCTAGTCGGTATCCCTGAAGGCTGCTCTATTTTATAGCTCATAATATGATTTTCTGTATTAATTAAAGTTACTTTTAGCACCTACGACGGTATACTGCACAGTAAACTTAATGAATATTCTATATATAAAAATAAAACCCGTTTTCCATTGTCACGCCATAACTTGAGAACGGCTAGACCGATTTGGCTGATTTTTATTGTGTTTTTGTTGTGTTTGTTATTGTCAGGAGAAGGTTCTTATGATAGAAAAAAATCCTGAAAATCCTACGGGAACGGGAGAAAACGGGATTGCGCGTACGAAGTCTACTTAAGGGGCCAGTAGAATACCAGCGCGAGGTCCTGTCTTGCACATGCTGAACTGGTCCCATATCACCGCAGACTTGGGACATTAGTAGATGTATATAAACTTATGTGTAAAATCTGTACGTGTCACCTGTTGTAGCGTGTAAAATAAAGTTTTTTTTTTCTTCCTTTCTTTCAAGCTCCGAGTATTAAACATCGCCGAGTGTCCAGACACCAGAACAGAACAATGGCAAGTTTAATTCGGAAATTCCATGAGTTCTTTTGGTCCAAGCCTAGCCATAACATCAACATTCGTAAGAAGTTACCTATACATATTAACTTCAAGAATTTTAACTTCATCAACATCATCATCAACAGTCATTAAATGCATTGCTGAGCAAAGTCTCTTCTCACACGGAAAAGGTTTAAGCATTAATCACCACGCTTGTTCAATGCAGGTTGGCTTAATAGTGTTTATATTCAATACTAAAGCCATTATAATACTAATCTATACTGGGAACTAGAGGCCCCTGTTCTCAATTTCCTCCAATATCCGCATGTCCCGAGCGACCGGGGGCACCGGGGACATCCACCGACTGTTGTTGTCAATATGAATTTAATATAAACTATAGGTAATTAGGTATTGCATTGCGAAATTTGGCTAAACTGTGTATTGTGTGAAGACTTTAAATCATGACAACATTTTGCTATGACACGACAACATTAATGACAAAATCTGGTAAGTCTGGCAGTGGACGCTCATGGTGACTACGATGGTAGTGATGATGGAGTACCTACACGTTCAGTTTTATTTTTGCAACGCACTATCGGCGTAGTGGCATAGTGGGTGTTGTAGGAGCACAACATGTCGCGGTCAGAGGCTTAGTACGAGTTTAATTTACGTTTAAAAAATTCCAAACGAGTAAGCGTTCGGCACTCTGATTGGCCGGCGCCAATGAAGCAACCAATCACAGCGCCGAACGCGTACTCGTTACGATTACTTTAAACTTAAAACAAACTTGTATTATGACCTCTTTTCGTTGTATTCAAAAATTAGTTCAAGTGTAACAGTAAACATTATACAGTATCGGTAGGTATCACATTGATGACGTACCTAATTAACAACAGAATGATATGACAAATCTACGCACATATTTTATAATTATGTTCATAGAATAGTTTTAATTTGTGTTTATTCAAGTGCGCTCTCTCTCTATAGGTACATTGATATTGGATTGTTTGCTTTAACTTAGTACAATCGTGATAAAGAATTGTAAAATGAAAAAATATTAGGTACCTACACATAGCATAGCGAACAAAGTTTTTCAATTACCCATTCGTATTTCGTATTTCCATACAATTTCAACTTCGCGAAATCGTAAAACGAATATTGGCGCTGCCATTTTTTCAGACTACAGAAAGAAAACTATGTTTGAAAAATTCCAAATCTAATTTAATGGAAAAACTTCGGCGTTCCACAATAAAGACAAAAATAAAGATGGCTGGAGGTATACGATATTTCACGTAGACTAATGATAATTTATTTTAAGTACCTAGTAAAAGATACGATAAGCGTAAAAACGTAGGCATTGTAATACCTGGCGTAGTAGGCATTTTTTAGAAGCTCTAAATACCTACTTACTTTGGAAAAAAAAGAACTGTGATAGCTACTAAGATTCATGTTCAAACATTGTGACAGTCTGTATGTTTCTTTGTCTTATATTGACGTCAAAGCAGCGGAATTAGTGATATCTAACTTCTATACATCATCATCATCAACAGCCTATAGAGGTAAATGCCCACAGCTGAGCAAAGCCTCTTCTCACACGGAGAAGGTTAGAGCATTAATCACCACGCTTGCTCAATGCGGGTTGGCGATTTCAAACTTATAATTAGAAATTATAAGTCCAGGTTTCCTCACGATGTTTTTCCTTCACCGTTTGTCAGTGGTGTCTAAATAATCTTAGAAAGTACATATAACTCGGAAAAAGTCACATTGGTACTTGCCGTTGGTAGGTATCGAACCCGCACCCTCATGGATGAGAAGTGGGCGTCTTAAACCTCCGGGCCACAACGACATTTAGACTTCTATACATGCATATAATAAAATCGTAGTAAAGAGAAAACTGTACATTGAATATTTCTGGTTTTTAGTATTTTTGTCTATTTGTCAGAATGTATATCCGTAAAACAACTCAAAAAGTAGTGCATGGATTTACTTCAAATTTTGTGTGAATATTACTAACAGGTCGGGCCAACATAATAATATAGCTTCTTACATGCTATCACGCTATCACATACGAGGGAGGAGCTGTGAATCACTATTCTCTATGTGGACTCGCGGGCACAGCTAGTAACAAAATAAGTGGATAATTGTATAAAAAAAAACCGTTATTCAATTGTGTATAACAGGGCAAATGGAATGGTGTGCATTCAAAGGCAGGTCAAAGCTATGCATTCAGCTATTGACAGAAACATGATGAGGAAGAGTGTCAAAAAAATATTACATAGATACTTGGGTAGGTATGTTGGATAGACAGTAAACGTAACATGCAATACACCCAGTCTTACCTAGCAGGAAAAAGAAGCAGGTGAACCCGCAAGCAAACAATAGTCTATTATAACGACACAAAAAGTAACCTTACAATTTTTATTTGCCGTCGAACAAAAAAGCCTTGGCACGAGTCGAAACTAATGTCTTAATATTAAACGCAGTACTTTCTTGTTAGGTAACTGTCGTTAGGTAATAGATAGGTATTCTAGTTCAGTAGTAATCCCTAAGTTTTTACAACTATTTGGTTTTGTAGCTAACTTCAACTAAGGGGAACATTGAACCATTTTTGCTGGTTCTAGCCTAACATTGTTTTTGTTGAAACCATTTGATCTGAACTATTTAACTAACCTCTCGTGCGCTTCTCGTACACATGGGTAAGCGCGCGTTCTCGTACACACGGGTAAATCCTTATCCTTACTAATATTATAAATCTGAAAGTGAGTTTGTTTGTTTGTTCCACCTTCACGCCGTAACTACTCAACCGATTGCTTTGAATTTGCAGATGTAAAGTTAGAAGTCCGGATTAAATAATAGGGTAATTTTTAACCCGGAAAAAAATGATGTTCCCGAGGAAAAACAAAAGTATTGGTATAGATGGCGCTGTGTGTATTGGTATATGTCACATAGGCTACTTTTTATTATTTTGTGACGCGTGCGAAGCCGCGGGTAAAAGCTATTATTTTAATAAAAAAGCGAATTAACCATCCTGTTCAATCAAATAAAGAACAGGTTACAAACTTGAAAATATACGTCACAGAAAAAATATCCAAACGGTGCGTGTTTCTCGTACACCCGTGTGTAATTGCGCGATGGGCACTCAACTCTCTCGTACACCCGTGTGTACGAGAAACACGCGAGAGGCTAATTTGATGGTCTCTTACCTATAAGGTTACATAATTAGTTACTTGTCGCTTCATTAAGAGTTTTGGTTGAAAAATAGTTACTTCAATAGCAGAGGCCTTCGTACGAGTTTATTTTACGCATAAAGTAATCGTTACGAGTACGCGTTCGGCGCTGTGATTGGTTGGTTCATTGGCGCCGGCCAATCAGAGCGCCGAACGCGTACTCGTATCGAATATTTTAAACGTAAATCAAACTCGTAAGGCCTCTGGTCACTATTCAGCTCTTCGCATCACATTACTTCCATATACTTTACGGATATCGTCACTTTTCTACATCTAGCACTTCGTTTGCCTAAGCATGATAGCCACTCCAGAACTCATATCTAGGTGGATACCATTGGGGTCAACAGTCATAAGATCTGCAACAAATATGACCGTCGACTGGCACTACAGGTTGCGTCTATTAATTCTATTTCTTTATGCTATTATGCAGGTCCACCAGATATGGGACGAAGACAAAAGAGAAAGAATAAAATGTTTGTTAGGTAGTTTTGTGAAGAAACAACAAAAAACTAATACATCAAGTCTATCACGTATTTCTATCTTTTTAACTACCTTTCTAAGAAAGAACTAGAACAAAAGGTAAAGATAAAAGTACAACTTGTTGGCACAGAGTGTAATAAAACATTTTGTAAAGGCAGTTTGAAGATATATCTTGCGAAACAACAGCCATAACTCTTGCGGGATCAAATGCTTTAAAACCAGTGTAAATTGTGAATTCAATGGGATTAACCTCGTTTTGTTGTTTTGTAAATGTGTTTTGTTTTAACAGTACGTGGCTCTTGCTTTCCCTGAAGGGAGGAACAGAGGTGTGCTTATAATACACCCACATTTCATCAGTTATGTTAGTCATACTGCCTCATTGGCCGAGTGGTTGCAAGTGCGACTGCCGAGCAAGGGGTCTCGGGTTCGATTCCCTGGTCGAGCAAAGTATAAATGGTTTTTCAAAAAATTCACTGTAGTGCACGGAGACTAGATTTGTGCCCGGTATATGACAATAGGCTCACCCCCTATTACATGGGACTCATAATATAAATAGTGAAAAGTGGGTGTTGCATTGTACAGTAGCATAATGTACACCTCTGCCTACCCCTTCGGGGATAAAAAGCGTGATGTCATGTTTATGTATTTCTAAAATTATTGGATATTTGATTAAAGTTCATCGATTCAAGCTTTCTGATTGACTCCATTGGGCTGTGGTTATGTTCTCCAGTGCAGTCCACTACTTCTTTATGGACCATTCGAATACGGACGCGACAGTTCTTGCTGATCCGTTGCGAACAGTACCAAGTGCATTGACCATCGAAGTTTACAGTTTGAACAGCCCTGGTCAAGAATAATACGTAGGCCACCTTTTATCACGAGAACGCCAGCGAAGCCGCTAGGTATAGATACTGATTAGGTAATGATAAAAGTAACTAAATAAAAACATTGAATTCAAAACCAAACAATTGAAAAACAAAACACAGTCGCTTAATTCCCGGCATTTTGTAAACAAAATCCCTTGTTTCGTCACTCCACTGTAGTCCGTCACCAAAGTTCTTTACAATCCCGCGCTAATTCAATCACTAAAACATAAATGCTTGGTTTAAACAACGGAATACTTAATCAAAGTCGTGAAATCCCGGGCCGGTCCCAGCACTAGCTACTCGTACTATATCGACCGAGCCGGGACTAACTAATTACAAAGATGTTTTGCACTTTGTACTAGATGGAGTACTTCTTGCTGTATGGGACTTCTTGTTTCGAAAATTAAGTTTCTTCGTTCAATCTTGTTGGGCGTTGAACGGAACGGTTTAAAGTTCTTTTACCGATTTATTAACGTTGATTCTTAAAGAAAAGTCTACACAGCTATTTAAAAGGGCATGATTTAATCAAATAATAATGATGAGGTAAAACTGTCAAAGACATGTAAAAGTAACTAGGCATACCTTTACAGGATGGGTATTGGTCGAAATCGGCAACAGAAAACCCAGTGCTGAACAGCTCCAGACAATCCACAAACAGGGAGAGACGGCGGGATACCGTGAGGACAGCAG